TTTCGTTGTGAGGCAGCCACTCCTGCTGTGTGGTATGCGATCTGGTCGAAGGACATGACAAAATGTCCGAAGGAGTTCGCGTCGGCCATTGAAACTTTGCAGAGYTTTTTGCCAGACCATCCGAGCTTGCAGTGGCCACCTCTTCGATTCCCCGAGGACGCAGTGCCGCCGCCGGTTCCTGCCACCGCCCCTTTAGGACCGGTCGCATCGCCCAATTCTGGGGCTCCCGCTATTCGAGTCACGACARYGCGTCCTGCGACAACAGTTGCAACACGACCGGCAGCCCCGCCGTCTCCACCGCTGGCTGTGACACGAGGTGCTCGCGATGTGGAAGTTGGTCGTTCCGCGCCAGCCAACGAGCCCCYGCCTGTGAGGAATAGCGCGGGCTCTGAGGCATTTAACGAGGATAGCGCACGTGCTTTTCTTGAGAGTCGCAGGTGGGGGGGGAGTGCCGGCAGTTCATCGGTGCTCGCCCTTGTGTTCAGGGGTGCTAGACAGTCAGATGCCGCAGGGGGTGGTGCTGCGGTGGTGCCTGGCGCATCGCCCCACGGTTCATCGGAGCACCCCTGGCTGCCACCGCCCCCGTCTCGAGCGGCGCAGCATCCACTCGTCCACCACGGTCATGCAACCGTGACGAGACCGGATCTGTCACACGCACCTGCAGATGCTCGACAATCTGCCCCCATGCCTCGTTTCGGTGAACAGGTGGTTCATGGGGTGCCTGCGGAGGAGGTCCCCGCTCCGGTGTCCGATTCATTGTCGACCCCGATTCCGACGACGACGGGTGGTGGTTGGTCTGCCCCACAGCCTCCACCCGTGTTGACCGGATCGTTAGACCCTTTGCAGTGCATTCGCGACCTTGCAATCACCCAAAGCGTGACACCTGTGAGTCCTGGCGGGATGTTGGATGCCGGGGTCCTCGGCGGGAGAGCCACGACGGCACGATGCCAGGGCACTTACAGGCAGCAGGCCGTCACGTCATATTATTCGGACCCTTTGAAGCGCGCGTGGCATCTGCAAATCATGCGGTTCATCGTCGAGAGCGGGATGCCGTTCAACTGCTCGAAGCTTGAAAGCTTCAAACGCATGTTCACGATGATAATCCCGCCAGTGGTTCCGGGGGCGGCCGCGCCTAGACTTCCCTCCTACCACATGCTACGCACGACCCTTTTGGACGAGCTGGATGGTGAGGTCCAGAAGTGTGTTCGGCCGGTGCTTGACACGTCGAGAGAGACCGGTTGCACAATCATGACCGATGGTTGGACCAACATCCGTGGCCAGACGTTGTGCAACTACCTTGTTGGGACAGAGATCGGGGCAGTGTATATGGCCACCGACGTCATGCGCGGCAAAAAGGACGCCAGTGCCCTTGCGAACGCATGGTTGAAAAGAGTGAAGTCCATGGACATTCAATTGAGCGACATCACAGCGTTCGTGATGGACTTCGCCGGGGTGAACGTCGTGGCGATGGAGGTATTCCAAAAATATGAGAGCGTGAAACACATCTTCTGGATTCCTTGCGTCACCCACGTCATGGACCTCGTTCTCGAGGACATCGGCGGGACTGATTGGGTGGCTTCCCGCATTGCGCAAGCGAGGCTGGTTACACGGTTCTTCAAGCGCCATGGACATCCGAGAGAGGTTCTTGAGGCGCACTCGACGAAGACTCTTCTGCTACCGGCGGAGACGCGTTTCGGCACGAACGTCATCATGATGGAGAGGTTGGTGGAACTGCGGGCAGCGTTGATAGGTATTGTGGGCGACGATCGTTGGTGTGAGACTGTTTGGTCAACCAGCAAGATCCGCAAGGACGCCGCGGAGGTCACTGCGTGTATCGGCTCCCCTCCATGGTGGGAGGATTTGAGAGCTCTGTGCAAGATGCTCGAGCCCATCATGGGCATGCTGAAGTTGGTGGACAGCGACACACGCCAAATCAGCAAGA